GTTGTGGACACAGTGCCAGATGATGACGTCAAGATGCCAGATGATGACGTCAAGATGCCAGATGAAGGAGGGAAAAAGCCAGTTGCTGATGGAGGTGCGTTGCCAAAAAGAAAGGAGCGAGCTTCTGATGCTGATGATGAGAGGTTGGCCAAACGAGGCAAATCGACTTTTGCCAGCAAGCCTCCGCCGAAGAATGAAAAGCTCTTGATGATCTGGGAGGCCATTGTTGAGGCGTATGATGATCTCATCAAGCCTTTTTTGGTGCACCCAGCCAAGTCAGAGCCGAGCTTCTACAAATTTTGCCGAGACAAATGGGAGGGTGTTGAGAACATGACGAAATCCGATTACTATGGGGAAGCCAGGTTCTTGAGTGGAAAATGGTTGGAGCAGAACAAGGATGCAGTGCCCATGAAGATGCCCTTCCGCAACAAGTGATGGACACATGCTGATCATTTGTAATGGTCAGATGTTTTTGGGGTTCAGCATCTGTAGATGCAGCGCATCATTTGCGGAGCAGGGAAGAAAAGGTTAGCCTTGCGTGCCCGTGTTTGTCACAGCTCCCATCCTTAGGAGAGTCGCTCTTTGTGAACTGGTTATGTTTGAATTGTAATTTAATGTTTGGCGCTTGAATTAGTTCCACACCATCGAAGTTTGTGGTGATGCCTTTCTTGCATTTCTTCCTTTATTGCAGCTGTGTTTCCACCTGCCCTGATCTACTGAGGGAAAATACAGTTGCAAACTCGGTGATGCTGATTAAACAAGGTGCACCTTGCAACTTGTGTTTCGAAACAGTTTTTTGATGGCTCAAGATGACCGAATCAGAAGGCAGCAGTGTGTCAACCTCTGAGCCAGAGGCGGCGCCATCCCGCGGTCGTGGTCGTCGCGGTCGTGGTCGTCGCGGCGGCGGTCGCAGTGGCGGTCGCGGTGGCGGTGGCAGCAGTAGCCGTGGCCATCATGGCGGCGGTGGGAGCCGCGGTTGTTCTGATGGGTTTGCTGTTGACAGGTCTGCCAGCGAAGCTACATCAGAGACAGAAGAAACAAAGAGAGTTCGACTACAAGAAGTGCAATGGAAATGCCGAAAAGGTGAAAAACGAGAACTAGATTCCTCTCACAGTGAAGGTGAAGCCAGTCCTGATGCGCCTTCGAATCTGATGAGGTATGTGACTTGGATTGTGGACAAGCTGGACTCGAAAGATGTTGATTGTTTGCGGGCACATCACAGTCAGCACACATTGAACATTGGTGAGCTCTGCGCTGGGATGGCAACGGGTACCATAGCTTCAAAAACTTTGGAGTCCAAGATCACAGAGATACATGGTTTGACAGTTGCTTGCCAAACAGTGTTCTACAGTGAAATGGTGGCATGGAAGAGAGCTCTTTGCCAGGAAGTGCATAAGAGTTGTGGTGGAGAGCATGCCGCACCTGCACTGTTCAAATCAAGGACTGCAGAGCTGAATGGGTTGAAAGAACCAAAAGTAGACCTTTGGATCGGAGCCATCGAATGCGATGATGTCAGTCCCCTGACAACCACTCCTCGCTCCATTTTGGACAGAGAGGGTAGAAGCGGCTCCAGTTTCATGGAAATGCTAGACGTATTGTCTTCATGTGGCATGGATGCAAGACCCCGCTTCATTATGCTGGAGTGTGTGGCTGCGCTGGACAAGCTGCGCAAGGCTGTCAATGAAAAAGGAACGAAAGTTGCAACAGACAAACTGGCAGAGCTAGGATACGCTGGATCATGGAACCTGCTCAACACTCGTGACTTTGGGCTCCCCCAAAGCAGGTCAAGAACTTACGGTGTTTTTGTGATGCGAAGTGCAGGGTTCGGCATGCATGGCCAGGAGATTCACATGAAGCAGGTGCAAAGAGTTTGGGATTTTGTGGCCAGTTGCAAGATTGACAAGCCAGATGTTCTTGCCAAGTTTTTGTCAGATGCCAAATTTGCGATGCTTGCTGATGAGATGTCAGATGCCAAAAAAAAAGAATGACAAGAAAAAGGTGGAGAACAAAAACAAACCCAAGAAACCACCTGTATGGAAAAAACAGCATGCTGCTTTCAAAGAAAAATGGAAAATTGCGGACTCAGAGATGAAGACCAGAGTTCAGAAGGCATTGGTGCAGCAGAAAGACAAGTTGAACCTCACTGAGCGGGAGGTTGAATGTGCAATCCTGAAGTTGGCCCTGCACATGCGAAAGAACATCAAGAACCCTGTGGACCAGGATTGCCTGGTTGCAAACATTGGGGACTCCCTCAACTATGTTCGTTTCAACTCCACCTGCCACCCTTGCCTTCTGCCTACCAAGAAATATCTGTATATATTTCAAGGCCATTGCTTCACCAACTCCAATGTGACTGGCAACCTCTACTTGCGGTTGCAAGGACTTGGCCCAGAAGAAGTAGAGAAAGCAGGTCTTGGTGGACTTGACCAAAGGCAAAGTCAGGAATTGGCCGGCAACGCTTTTACTTCAAACATAGTTGCGGCCATTGTTCTGGCAATCTTGGTGAATTGGAAGTAGCACCAAATTCAGAGCAGTGTCCCGCAGCGCCAAAAAGGAGCTCAGCATTGGCAGAATAGGCTTTTATTGTCCTTAAGACTGCCTTTATAACAGAGTTCTTGTTCCAGGTTCCTGCTGTACTGTAAGGCCTCCATAGACTCGCAGATTGGCCCTGAAGCTTGGCCCTAAGCAACTGGCACTATGCATCTAAGCAACTGGCACATGCGTCTGATTTTTTTGCTTTGCTGTAGATCTGGCGTTTTGGTTTAATTATCTAGCAGCTTCACTTTCAAGCATTCTTTGGCAACTGGCTATGCATCTGGCAACTGGCCCATTGAGGCATTTGCATTTGAATCTGATAACTGTGCATCTTCAGATTCCACCCAGTTCTTCTGGCAACTGACCCTCAGGCATTTCGATTTGAATCTGGCATCTGGCAGCTTGGCCCTCAGGCACTCCACATTTGCATCTTACTTTGACTTTTCTGTAGATCAGGGACCGTGGATTACTGTTCAACAGCTTGATTTCAGGCCATTTAATCCAGGCAGCTGTGCGCTTGGCAGCTGGACCCTCAAGCCCATTTGAACCTATTTGATTTCTATTTTGACATAAACCTAGGATTTGGGGTTGCCGTAGACCTGGGGTTTCGGGTTGCCGTAGACCTGGGATTTGGGGTTGCCGTAGACCTGGGATTTGGGGTTGCCGTAGACCTGGGATTTGGGGTTGCCGTAGACCTGGGATTTGGGGTTGCCGTAGATTTGGGGTTGCCGTAGACCTGGGATTTAGGGTTGCCGTAGACCTGGGATTTGGGGTTGCCGTAGACCTGGGATTTGGGGTTGCCGTAGACCTGGGATTTGGCGTTGCCGTAGACCTGGGATTTGGGGTTGCCGTAGACCTGGGATTTGGGGTTGCCGTAGACTTGGGATTTGGGGTTGCCGTAGACCTGGGATTTGGGGTTGCCGTAGACCTGGGATTTGGGGTTGCCGTAGACCTGGGATTTGGGTTTGCTGCCAACTTCCGACAATCCTATGGCAACTGGGAGTTGCCATAGACCTGGGATTTGGGGTTGCCGTAGACCTGGGATTTGGGGTTGCCGTAGACTTGGGATTTGGGACTTGGGTTTGCTGCCAACTTCCGACAATCCTATGGCAACTGGGAGTTGCCGTAGACCTGGGATTTGGGGTTGCCGTAGACCTGGGATTTGGGGTTGCCGTAGACTTGGGATTGGGTTTGCTGCCAACTTCCGACAATCCTATGGCAACTGGGAGTTTCCATAGACCTGGGATTTGGGGTTGCCGTAGACCTGGGATTTGGGGTTGCCGTAGACCTGGGATTTGGGGTTGCCATAGATTTGGGACTTGGGTTTGCTGCCAACTTCCGACAATCCTATGGCAACTGGGAGTTGCCATAGACCTGGGATTTGAAATTCAAAAGGCACCTGGCTGCCAACCGTAGGATTCTGAGGTGTAGGCAGCATGTGCCCCAATCCTATGGCAACTCAGAGTTGCCATAGGATTTCCCAGGGTATATGATTTTCTGTATTTCAATATATTGGGATTCCCCTCACTGACTATCCCTGCCAAATCCTATGGCAACTGGGAGTTGCCATAGGATTCTGGGTAAGTAGCTTCAGAGTCCAGAATCCTATGGTCTGCAGCCCCTGATTCAATTTGTGAAAACACTGACCCAGAATGTTTTGGTTTGATTTTCTTTTCTTGGAATCTTGGAACACCCTGTGTTCTTTGACTTGTGGTGTCCCCTTGGGCCCGTGTGATGTGTTCATGACCAGTGGCTTTTGTGCTGAACCAGTCATATCATATCGTCTCTGAACATGGCAGCCGGCAGCAGCAGTGAGTTGCCGCCTTGGTGTGAGTATGTCAAAGATCAGATCTTGAAGTTGCATGAGGACAGATTTGGTTTTTGATGGGTGTTAGTTGGTGCTTTTTGGTCCGTGCTGCTACTTTGCATTCTGGATTTGTTGCCCCTTTACTTGGCAGGAAGCCAACAATGACCGTGAGTGCTTGACGCCCAAGATAGCAAGCCTGCCGTTGCCAACGGAGATGTCAGATGTTGTTGAAGAGATTGCCCAGATGTATGCTGTTTTGTCTGGGAAAGAGCCTAGCTGCATTTGGGCTTGAAGTTTTTACCCACTAACCCTTTGTGTTCAATCCTGTGACGGAGTCGTGTTACTGGAGACTTGCTAAGGATGAAGATGTAGCGCTGCAGTGGGCCAAGCTCAAGGTCAATGCTGGCCAGCAGATGGTAGAAGGGGCAGTGGGAGTCACTGTCATTCATCAATGGCGTTGGGACTCAGCTTCCCTCTGGTAGCTTGGACGCATTGATTGTTTGTCAGTTGTCAGTTGTTGCAGTGTCAGTTGTCCTTATTCTGTTTCAGGTCGGGGCACTCTGCCGAAGCTAGAAATCTGATTGGGATTGCGCACTCCATCCTGAGCACTGGATTTCGTGTGGAGGAATCTTTGATTTCCCGGGACACTTTGCCTGGAATGTGCCAGTTGAAGTTTGGGCAAGGTATGAAGCGTGGCCTCAGTGTCAAGCTTGTGCGCCTGGGCCGAATTCTTCTCAACGCGTGTCATTGCCAAGTACAGTGCTTTTTCATCAATTCCTGACAGTGTTTTTTTGTCAACTGGCTGAGGTGGTGTTTGATGCGCAAGGCTATCCGAGATGGGAAGCTTCAGGCAGATGTCCATGGCCTCTGCATTTTCCAGGGCCTTTGCGCTTTGCCTACCCTGTTTGTCGAACAGGATGATCTCATCAGCCAGGCATTTCGCCAAAATGTGAAATCTGCATATATCTCTCCAGTGAGCAGCCTTCAATGGACGCACATGGTGCTGGTGACGCACTTTGGAGTAGCTGCCACTTGGGCTGATGCTGAGGGTTTTCTCATGTTGTTTTGCCCCTTCAGCCGTTTGTAGCCCCATCATATCAAAATGTTCTTATTGAAAATGGTGGAATTTGATTAGACTGACAAATGTTGCTGTCCAGATATGTCCAGATGTTGTTTGCCACAATGTCTCAGCTTTCATCAGGACAAAGTTGGGACGGACTACTCGCAGATCTTCGCTTGGGATAACCCTGTGGAACGGAGGAGCAACGGCAAGTTGCTTTGCAATGTGCTGGACAGACTCTTGAAAGGCTACGAGACCAAGGTTGATGCAGAGGGGGTCGCAGTTGAACCGCCTTTGGCCAAAAAACGCAGGGGAAGACGCGCTCCATCCAAGAAGGATGACAGCCAGACTTCGCAACCTGCTCCAGATGGCAACCGTTCTGAGATCCGCATTGGCACAGTCAAGGTGACTGCCATCAAGAACCTGCTTATGTGGGTCACTCCGCAGGCTTACAAGATGATGATGCACCATTCCTCTGTTTGTGGAGGGGAGCGCCGTTCGGCCTTCACTGAAGCAGTGTTGGCGTGGCGTCATTTATGGCCAGGGAGCCCCCCAGCAGAGGGTATGATGCCGAATGAGGCTGAGGAATTTGCCAGGCGAGGTGCTGCAGCAATGCAAAAGAAGCTGTTGCCTGATCGGGTCACGTCGCTTGGCTTTGCGTTGGTGTTTAATTTTATGCAGTTTTTAGTTTTGGTTTTTGGTTTTGTGGGTCTTGTGCATTTTTTTTTATCCAGCAAAGCTTCGCTTGTTAGGTCGAAGCCCTTGCAGTTCGGAATGGATTTGACACCAGAAGATCATGAAGCCTTGATCCTGAAAATTGTCAGCGTGTATGAAAGTGAGATGGAAACAAAAGGTGACTTGGCCAAGATCAACGTGGACCAGCTGTGGAGCTACCGCATGGTAGTGCAGGCATGGCGTCAAACAGTGATTCATTGTGCCAAAGCAGACCTTGATGAGCGAAGCTTCCAAGAGGTCCAGAGTGCCATTGAAACCGGCGACGCATTGGACCAGCAGCTCTGCCATTGCTTGAAAAGCTTTCCACTTGAATTTGGCCTCACAATGTTGCCAGATGTGAAGTGTTTGACAGATGCTGGTGAGATGCAAGATGCAGAAGTTGATGATGTCATTGAGAAAGCCGAGAAGGATGAGTGGCAACTTGGCTCAATGCTTACCCAACTGGCATCTTGTTTTTCTTGCTTTTGTTTCTGCATGTTGACATGACTGGTGATTTAGACTCAATACTGTCAATACTCACTTGGTGAATGTAACATGTTGAGCAGCCACTGACGCATGTCAGGATTTCCAAGTTCATCGCTGTGGAGGCGAAATTGAAGTTGGATTGGAAGCTGCTCAACTCAGTGTCAGATGGCTATGAGGTTCTTGGAGATTGCCTGGATTGGCTGTCGACCCAAAAGAAATTGAAAGTTGCACAGCACGCTCGGGACACAGTTGACAGGCACATGAAATTCTTCTGCCCCGTGTTGGCTGTGGAGAACAATGAGAGTTTGCCTGGGGACCTGGAGGGCTTGATGGCTTCCCTGCCGCCGCTGGCTGATCCTGATGGCAAGCGTCTCATGGTTTTCCATTTGGATTTCAACATCCCAAATGCTCCTTGACACAAATGAGTGAATATGTTTGCAAGGATCTTTTCATAAGAGGTCGCTGTCATTGAGCCGTGAATTCCCCAGGCCAGGAATGCTCTGAGTCTCAAAGGGCTTATCCCATCATTGGCCAATTGCTGCCGAACGCAGGGTGTCTTGGCAGTCACATTGTGCGCATTGTGAATGATCTGTGAATGACATTGAAAAGTTTATGATGGCATTTTTCCAGTCAGTCAATGCTTCTTCTTGTTGCAGGTGTGGGCACTACTGTGGTCTTGTGCATCTTTCCAAACCGCAGTCGAGAGGATAGTGAATGTGATCCCATGGAAGACGAGGTGGACATTGTCCGAAAGATGCGTGAGGCTGGATTCAAACGGCAAGTCCCTTTCTTCATGCCTTTGCGTGTGCCCATGGAGGAGTTTCTTGAAAGCAGTCATGAGTGTGTCACGTACTTACGGCAATTGTTGTGAACATTTTCAGTTGAAGTATTCATTCGTTTGTTTGCTAACCTTTTCAGTTGACAAGTGACTTGATCTGAGGACCACAAACCAGACGCAATGGGACTTTGGGATGCGGGGACGTCTCATGTTTTGGGGAGGCGACGACGCTGGGCCCAATGTTTTTGTGCAGTGCTCAGAGCTGGTGAGAACTGGAAAGTTGCCCGAGGGAGAGCTGTGTTCAGAGATGCTACCAATCACTTCGAGCGCAGCAGAAACGGAACGAGCAGATGGAATGCGTGTATGCGCTGCCACCCGGTCGGCCCAGAAAGGTGGAGAAGTCTGGAAGATCGTGTACCAGCAACTCATGATGACTAGCAAAGCAAATCCAGCTGCAGCCCCTCCACTGGTGAGACCAAAGGATGAGATCGTCATCCTGGACTTTCACGTCCACAATGCAGACCATGCATTGGGGTCTTGCTTGATGGCAGCAGAGGGAGGGCCTGTGCAGAGGCATGTGATGCTGAAGTTTCTGCGGGACAAAAAGAGCCTGAGTGCCTGTGAGTTCTCACAAAACGAGTTGGCGCGCACCTGGGCACGAAATGGCTTAAGCACGAACTTAAGCTTTTCACAGAGACTGGAAAAAGTGTGGCTCCCATTGAAGCCGATATCACCATTCTCGATGACAATGACAAGGCCTACCTCCGCTCAGTGCCTGGAGCCATGGAAGCATACGAAGGAACGAGAACGTGGGAAGGCAAGCTCCGCGTGACTTGTCTCAATGGTGCCCAGGTTTCTTTGCAGCCAACATTGAAAGCAGAGTTCGCACATGCACTGCCGTCAGTGAAAGCGCAGTTTGATGCCATGGAGAAACTGCACAATGACAAGTATGGCTCCTTGTTGGTTGGGAAGCTCCAATCTGTGCGCGGTGATGCACGTGGAGGCACTCCCGCTGCAGACCCAAGGCCTTCGAATTTGACAAGTGGAAATGCACAAGAAGGCAGTGGCGAATCGAATCCAGGGCCCGTTTCTTTGACTGGTCCAGAGTCGGATGCACAGCTTCGCCAGCAGTACAAGATCACTGTCGACGTGAAGGCCTTTGATAATCGTGGTGTTGGATTTCTTGTTGCTGACAATGGCCATGCGTTTATCATTGTGAAGTCTGAAGACTTGATCTTGCGGAAGGGTACCAAAATCGCTGGTCTTGGGTCTGGACGGATGACCCAGGAAGCTGGTGATCATGCCTTGCAACTGGGATTTCCTGATGGTGACAGGACACTCACTGAGGCCTGGTGGGTGACCGTTTGGGGTGTGTGTTCATCTCACAGGCTGCTTGATGTCCCTTTGAGTCGCATCTCGCATCCACAATTTCAAGTGACATCTTCAACTGGCAAACTGTTTTGTAGTCTGACAAAACTGTCATCTCCGTTGTTTCCATTGGCATCTTCAATGTGCAGATTGTGCTGATAGTTTCCCACTCTCTTCTCACATGACCCATTCAACTAATGTCTCCACAGTTTCGAGTGACACCTTCAAGGTATAGGCTGTGCTGATATTTCCCCTTCTTGTAGGTTTCACATGACACGTTCAACTGACATCTCAACAGTTTCCATTGGCATCTTCAAGGTAGGTTGCGACACTAAATTCTTGAGGTTTCATGTGACACATTCAACTGACATCTCCACAGCTCTCATTGACATCTTCAACTGGCACCTTCCACCCTGCACCTTTCAAGCTTCGTTTGGTATTCAACTGACATTGTACAGTTTCATTGGGCATTCAACTGACATTGTACACTGGTATATTCAATTGACGCATAGCAGATTCAACTGATTTTTGGCCTTGCCAGGTGATCGTTGGGAATGCCGGTGCGGATGAAGCTGATCAAAAGGTGCAAAAGGGATCTTTCTACATTGTGGTCAAGGAGCTGATGAAGACTCACAACTTGGCAGACATCGCAGTGACAGGACACATGGTATCGGTTCGCCAGCCATCCTCAGGAAATGGCACCCATGGGTTCGACATCAAGGTTTCAACAGATGCTCAGCAAGGCAAGCCGTGGTTCTTCCTGCCCAAGGACAAGGAACCTACAAGCTACACCCCAGGCAATGCAGCCAGGAACTTGATCCTCATGAATGACAAGACCAGCTTGCACCCAGCATTCTCATGGATGTGGAGGTTTGGATTCGACAAGGTACATTCGAAACTCACGGCAAAGAAGGCGTTTTTGATTTGCAACCAAGATGTTAGCATGAAAGCCAACAAGCCAATCAAGTTGACCCGTGACAGCAGCTGAAAGATGGAAGTTGATTACGCTGCTAGATGCCAGATTGCACCTGATGTTGCCAGATGAATTTGAGTTTGAAGATGCCACCTGTGAATGGCAACGTTTGACGGACTGAGTGAGGTGGGCTCATTTTGTTCTGCTGCGCTTTCTGGAATTTTGGTCATTTTGATGGCGTGGAAAAAATTAGAAAAGTCTGTGGGCAATGCTGTTGTGGTTGATGTTTTGGCACTGTTTCGCGGTGATGTTTTTGCACTGTTTCACACTGATATTTTGGCACTGTTTCACACTGATGTCTTGTCAAGTGTCTATTGATGCAAACTGAGGCAACATTGGCACAGGCAGCATTGAAGCAGTGTTGGCAGGATATGATGTTCTAGCCTCAAAGAATGTCTTGAAATTTGAAAGTTTCTGCATTGGGCTTCAAGTTGTGGCAGTGATGCTTCTCTTGCCACCTGAAAAGCCATGAGCTCCACAGATACAGAGCCAGACCCGTACTTCGTTGTGCCCGTACACCCGTTGCCATGTGGGTCTCGAAGAGGCAACAAAAGGAAGAGTAATCCACAGACCAAGGAAACCTCCCAGTCGTCTAAGACTGACTGGTTTGCCAAATGGGCATTGTTTTTGGAGAAATTCAACCGCAGCTTGGGTAGCTGCAAGACTGGTTGCGCATTCTGCCTGCACAATTGCTTTGGGCTTTTGCAGCCATTGTTAGACGAAGTCAAGAAATGGAGAGAGGAAATGTCACATGTAGTTTCTGAAGTTCAAGACCAAGAACTGCGCTGGATATTCAAACCTGATCCGGACTCAGCCACCATCACTCCGAGACAGGCGCTGGCAAGACCTTCCAGAGGTACAGGCGATGGTCAAGGTTCAACAACGTCAACCTCAGAAGTGGATGATGCTGGCCAATCCACAAGCACCTCCAATCCAGCTGATTCAGATTCAGACTCTGGTCATGAGGAAAAAGTAGCCAAGCAGACGTCCCGACACTACAGCGTCAGGCAAGGGTCAAAAAGACCATCTGTCAGAATTGGCCTATTTCTTCATGGGGCAGACAAAGGGATGCGCATTTGCCAGAAAGCGGCTGTGTGGGCTCTGGGCATTTCAAAAGCACGGCTCCACAGGGCAACACGTCAGCATTAATGCTTTGGTTAGTTTTTATGTGCCCGTTTATTTGTTTCAGTTGGTTTTTCAATCGTTCATTTTTCAATGCAAGTCTTGGCCTGGCATGACATGACCTCCCACACCAGGTTCAACATGGACTTCCAGATCGTCGCAAGAGAGCCTTCCGAGTACAGAATGCAGTTGCAAGGCCCCAGCTGGATCTCTGTCATCGGTTCTTGCAGCTGCGGTACCACAACGAGGGTGAGTGGTTGCCTGACAGATTTGATTTTGAAGGGCTGGGCCGCCCAACATTGGTTTTCGCTCCCAAACACAGGTCAGAGTCAGCTGATGGAAAATGTGATGTCAGATGTGAGTTGCCAGATTCAGATTCTGAAGATGAAGAGTGCCAGATGTCAAAGGATGATTGGAATGAGGCAGATTCAAGAAAGCTTGCAGCAATGGCTACAAAGGCCATCGTCACATCCAATCCCTTCCAGAACGCCATGAAAGGGCCGCAATTGGGTGATGCTCCGAGAAGATACCTAGGGGTTGTAAAACCTATTGTGCTGTATCAGATGTGCAGAGCCTGGTGTGAGCAAAACAATTACACAGAAAAACCATCTTGGACAACATTCTTGCGTGCACTTCGTGCTTCGAGGAAACACATTGCCTTCCGCAAAAGCACAGGGCAGCATGGAGTTTGCGATGAATGTATGTGGTACAAAAAACAGCTCCAGCGACACATGGGAGTAGCTGAGCGAAATTCCACAATGGAGGACTACGCAGGGCACCTATTGCGCAATTGGCGCGATAGACAACTTGACAGCAACTTCCACGCACAGGCCGGACAAACAAGGGCCGCGATGCTATCAGGGACAGATTTGAATTTGCTGCAGCACAGTGTGATGTTTGTTCGCAGTGATGGGCTTGATCAAGCCAAGCACAAAGTTCCTCGATGCCAAAACTTCACCAAGGCATTCTGTGACTTGATCAGGCCAGCCATGCATGTCCAGATGTGCTGGTGCCATTTCCATTCAGTGGAATTTGCAATAGCGGATCCCGACCTTCCCAAAGACTCATGTTCCCACCTTGAATGCCTCAGCCGGCTGCTGACTGGAATTTACGACAAGCACAAGGCACTGGCTCGGCATCTTTGCTTGGCTCTCGACAACACAAGCAGAGACAACAAAAATTCAGTTGTCTTGAGATTTTTCATCAAACTGAGGCTCCTCCAGGTTTTTGAATCAATCTACATCTGCTTCCCCATCAAGGGGCACACGCACACGTGTCTCGATGCCCTCGGGGGGCAAGCGGTGGTGAAAACCTCTGCAGAGGCTTTCAATACAGACAGAGAGCTGGTCAATTTGTATGAGAAGTTCCTCAATGGCTGTTCGTTTGAAAACGGAACCTTCAAGACAAGTTGTTGGAAGCATGACCAGTCAGCAGACTGGCGAAGTTGGGCTGAGGAAATTCCTTTGAAATTCTCATGTGTTACTGGCCCACTCGCCCCACATGGGTTCCGGATCGTTCAGCGACATCAAATGGAAGACATTGGGGACGCAGAGATCACTGCCTGGCCAGGGGCCCCACCTCCTCATCCAAATGACTTGGTCATGGGCGTGCACAAGTACATGTCAGATGCCCAACCGTATCAGGTTTGTTTGCTGGTGCCTGCAGCTGAAATTGATGATGTGAGAAGATCATTATCGTTGCAGCCATCTGGCAACCAGTTGAGGAAGCACATGCCAGTGAAAGAGCGAGAGGATATTGTGAAGAAAGCAGAGCAATGCCATCTGAAAGGGGGCATACACAAAGATGCTTTGGATTTTTTGATTGGATGGGCCAAAGGAACAAAGCGCCGTGACCCAAGGTTGCAGCATTACAGTTTTTTGGACCATCGGTACAATTCCACGCCAGAAAATGCTGCGCCAAGACGATATCTGCAAGGCCAGCATCACAGGCTGAGACATATTGTCGTCCTGCAGCATGACTTGTCGCAATCCGTGCCTTGGCTTTTAAGCTTCAAAATGTTTTTCTTGGTTAAAAACTTGTTTCTTAAAAGGCACGTTTTTCAACCAAGATTTGCTGTGTTCAGATTTGGCTTGATGGTGTGTCCTGGTCTCCCAGGCTGAGCGTCCAAATGATGATGAGAACGATGACGATGTCCTTGAAATTCAGCCAGATGTTTGATGCCAGTTGGTATTGGATGCGAGTAGTAGATGTTTGATGTCAGCTGCCAGTTTGCTGCGTGGAAAACGGACGTCGCGCAACCTTCTAAGCAGTCAACTGCTTCGGATACCTTCTTTCTCATGTGTCTTTTGCATGTTGAACTCACTGTTTGCTGACTTTTCTTCAGGGTTTGTCTTCAGGATCAATGCATT